GATGGTACTGTGTTGTGTTTTGTTATATTTTCATTCCTACTTTTCAGCACTTTCACTAAGGCATACTAATTGCAATCATAAATCTAGTAATCACAGCTCTTGACCTTCTTACTGAACCTCTACAATCCTGTTTTATTAGGCTGGTATGCTGGCACCAGGTACCAGGAGAGACATCTACGATCAGAAGCACATATTACAGCCTGTGGATAACTCAACTATTTCGTTACAAATGGGTACCAACAAAGTAGCTTCACAGAAGGGAATGAGTGTGTATGGGCTTGGACGGCAAGTGTATGACCCCAAGTACTGTGCTGCACCCACTGAACCTGTCATTCATAACGGCAGCCAAGGAACAGGAACTAACGGGTCGGAAATCAGCGATAGCGATTATCAGGCAGAGTACCCAGATGACTACCACGGAGAGTACCAAGATGACTATCAAAGAGATTACCATGGGCAGTACAGTGACCAGGGCATTGATTACTAGCTTTGCATCAAAAGTTCAGTATTAGTCGATTATTTTATTCAGTAAGAACGAAACTAGCCTTGTGGAATTGTTACCTGTCTTTCCTACACACTACGCTTAATGTACCTAAAGAAATACTGCCTTACATACATTCCTTTCTCCTTTCTCTGCCCTTTCCCTGTCTAGTTGCCTTTAGTGCTGTAACAGCTTTAGTCTACAGCATAAACAATAACTGCATATGAAGTAAAAGGAATACTGTGAAAGGGGGAGTGCTCTCATACAGCCAGGTTGTTTCGTAAGGAGCTATGCATTCTCACAATCTCTACTTAAGTAGGTTTTTACATACCAAGTTAAGCCTTCATTTTACATATTTACAGCTTTTCTCCAGAGGAGATAAAAGAATCTCATGCTTAAAGTTACATGTGGTCTTTGCCAATTAAATTTAAGATATCTCATTAGTGATTTAATATCATTGCTATGTTTTTAAGGTATTGTTTGCTAATGTTAAGTCCTGCATTAGACATAAGTGTGCATTTGTGATTGTGTATTCATTCCATTATCAACACTGACCAAACTTAGAAATAGTTGTCTTACTAAAAAGGGAGCTTGTACAAAGTCTTGAGCCAACAGAAGTTCCATGATTGATGGTGCATTTACCTTTTATTGTGCCATAATATATCCATGTAGAAATGCTTTTTTCTTCCTTGAACTGTATTTATTGCCACACTTCTGAAACTGATCCCATTGTATTTTTATAAATAAATATTTTTTTCTTAAAGGTACGTAGATGATCTTGTCTCATTTGTTACGCTACCCGTCTTAAAGATCAGGTGTCATAAGAATTATTTCCAGATAAGCATCACCTTTCCCTATTTTAAGGGTAACGTAGAACTCCATTCTGTTGCAACTTGGGTTCATTTTTTTCCACGGGATTTAATCTAACTATCTTGTAAAAATCTCTCAGGAATGAGTGTCACTGACTTAATAGGAGAGGAATGTAGGTCCTTCACAGCTGGGTTCACTTCCCCTCTTCATGACTCTGAGGTTATGACCAGAGATCTTTAGCTGTTCACTAAATCCCTGCCGTTTTCTCAAGGCAAACAAAGATCACACATATTTATTGTTGCCTCTGCTTCAGCCTGTTGCCTTTATGCCATCACTTGGAGAATGCAAAACACTCTTGCTTTAGATTATGTAAAGACACACAGAGTCTGTGCCTGCTGAGTACCTGCAGCAGGTACTCAGTTACTGATAGCAGAGCTTTATTCCTAAACGGAGGGTACTTTCTTCCTCAGCATGGAGTGCAGAGAAACTACACTAATTTACCTGCACTTTTGAAAAGGAGGAAAAAAGCATGTGTCAATGGGGGCCAATGTTGTAGTTTCTAACTTCTGTAAAATAATTCAAGGTTATCTTAAAACTGTTCACTACAGTTTAAACGTACTACATATTAAATGTTTTACATTTGCAAGTTCTGGACTGATGAAGGATTTTTTCCTCAAGACTGGAAATGGTTTGTGTGTGCTCCATTACTTTCTGTCATCTTTGAATGTGATGCGGTGATCTGACTTTCAGCTGACCTATTTCTTGTGTAAGTCTTAAGCTTATTTATTTTACAGAATTTAAATTAGAAAGGCTCTCTAGAGGTCACTAGTCCAAGCCCTGCATGTGAGGCAAGAGAATTATTAACAACAGATCTGTTAAGACCTGCTGTTCCTGAATGATACTGTTTCTCCCCCTTCAAAATAGTAGTTTTTAATTATTTAGAACTACTGTATTGAATGCTGAAAAATAGTTCTACAATCAACAGCAAAATCAACAAAAGCTTTTTTATTTTTGTAGTTTGGGTGAAAGCAATCTCTTTTTGAAAGCCTGACCATGCCCTCCTTCCTTCTGAATCCAAAACTTAGGCTTTAAACTACTTGCCCCTTATTATGTACTTAAACAGAAGAAACTTAACACACAAGCTGTTGTTGGTATGCATGTTTCATCCACAGAGAGATCCAGTGGAATCACAAGTGAATTCAAGAGTTTGAAGTAGACACCAAGCAAGACCAAAATCAAGCTGCTTTGCTTAAAACAATAGGCTGCAATACTTAGCCATTTTCTGGCAGTAATCATTCAGTAGTCCCTGTCTCCTATTTTTAAGAAACACAGTTATAATAAAGTACCTTTCATTCTGCTGAATCTAATCTTCCATAGCTGCAGGAAAGATGAGTCCACACTTACTGGGTTGCATTGCAGGGCAGACATCAAATTATTGGAAGTGGCTTAGCCCAGCCTCAGAACCAGCAGGAACTGTATTCCCAGGAGCTGTGCCTCCTTTACAGCTGCCTGACTGCAGTACCCTGCAGGGGAAGGCAGCCCTGAGAAGCAGGCAGTAAATAGCATCAGCTTCTGTAGGAGTGCCTTATCCCTCTAACTCAGGTGGAGGGAGGCTCCTGCCCCACAGGAATGCTACAGCTGGAGGTAGTTGGCACAATTGCCAGTGCAGTGTATGTAAGATTGGAAGGTCTTGAGTTGTAAATGAAAGCTATAAAGCTATGCTTTCTGTACAAATGTAATTAAAAGCTATATATTTGGAAGCCTTCTCTAAAAATACACACAGTTCTCAAAACTTATTTTATAATGTAATTTCTGGACTAATGACAATACAGTATTCCTTAAACAGCATACACTCAAATACAGCTTAACTGATATTTTTCAGTACCTTCCTTCTTTAAAAGTTAACCCAGAATTTGTAGGAAGTGTATGAATCTTTTCTCCACTCTGGAGCTGCAGTGAAGGCAATGACCCTGCATCATAATTGTAATGAACAGAACCACAGAGTTGTTGAGATTGGAAGGGACCTCTGAAGGTTGTCTAGGGATTTTCTGAAAACAAGGACATACTTAGATAAAAATTTCCCTCCCTTTTTCCCACCAGAGTTCCTGAGTCAAAGGCCAAAACTTGCAGTGTGAGTACCAAATACAAACAGGAAAAAAACCCTGAATGTGTAATAAGAACAGGGGGTTTTTTAACTTCAAAGCAAACCTCTTCTGCTTTGTAAATTGGTAAATATCATGTTTGTGAAGACACTGCTGCTTGGAAGCAACCTTGGCAAACCCATGGCAGAGGAAAAGTTTAGCCCTTTGTAAGTACCATATCTGCACACTTCCTCAGGGTTAGAGAGCTATTGCTTCTTCAGGACTTTTCAGAAGTTCTCACTGCATCCACAAGCTGAGCACAAAAAGTATCCAAGGGTGCACTTTTAAATAAAGAGAGGTGGTGAGTCACAGCCAGTACATTATCATCTTCATTATCTTGCCAGGCAGAAAGTAATTAATCTATTTCCCTTTTTCATCATTTATCCTGTATTCCAGAACTTCTTGAATTGACTCATATTAAAGTAAACTGAAGTTAATTAAATTATGGATAAAAAGCAAGTATTTCTTAGTATTTCTAGTTAACTAGTCTCCTTTCAACAGCAGGAGACCAGATAGAGTATTTAAATGAAATGGATTTCTTATTCAGGCATCAATGAGCTTTTCTGTACATCATTTCCAAGCTGTGACTAATCAAGGCTTTATCAAGCTATTCATTTAAGACAGTTCTGAGTCACTTACCTGCAGTGATGTCTCACTTCCTATATTGATACTTTACTGAAATCCCTGGCTGGCATCATTTTCCCACCACAAACCTCTCCTCCAATAAAATTTGAAGAAAGAGAATAAAATGTGCCACCAAGTAAAATCTGAAACTACTCCATACTCAGAACAAGGTGGAGCCTACAAAGTGTATTACAGTCAGAATCAAGGTAGAAAGTTTAAACAAGCTTTAAAATTGCTCACAAGAAAGTGCTGGCAAACTGTTACGAAGTTAATTTTTTTAAAAGTGTCTATACTTGTATTCCTCTTCTGACTAGAGCCCTGACAGTCACTCCATTTCCTCCATGATGTATTTCACACCCATGTTACAGCTAACATTTCTATAAAGTATTATTTATAACATTTTTCTCATGTCTGTCCTGTTATTTTATCTCTGTCATCTGCTACTTTGTCAAGCTCTAAATACAGATGCAAATTTTTCTGCTTCATCTTTTCAATTGCAGAAAGAAGGAAGGACTATTCCTCATCTGCCCTTTGGAGAGGAGCTGGACAGTTTATGTTACAAACTTGTAAAAACCATTCCCAAAAGGGTATAATTAAAAGAAAGACACCTACCTCATAACTGCTAATTATCTTGACTACAGAGAATTTCTATCAAGGGCAATTTCCATCAATGAGTTTAGTCTGTTCCTTAATTGGCTGCTCAGATATGCAGAATGAATCAGGACACAGTCATCTCAGAGCACCTCCTCTACAAATGTTTCTGCATTTACTGTTCTAGAGATGACTGGCACAGCATTCCCAGAGAAACCTGAAAAAATCATGTTAGCTCCATGACCTTTCTGACTTACTAATTTAGTCTCAACATAGAAATTTACAAAGAGTGAGTTTTTTATTATCAACTTTCAGAGAATCATAACAAATGTAGTAATAAAAATCAGATGTGATGACACACAAAATATTTTATTCATACAAACAGATTGTGTGTCATTTTACCAGTGCAGAAGATACAACAGATTTAGGGAGCTAATACTTTGTCCTGGGCTATTGGTAAACTTTACTGATATGACCATTTTTGCTGTTGCTGCTCGGCTTCCACACCTCCTGGTGTACTTCACATTTAAGTCTACAAAGAGAGAAAAAAGGAGTCAAATAATGTGTAGTACTGTATCTGCATTTAAATGTCATAAGAGTAAACTGGGAAAACAATTAAGGTTCTTTTGTGTCTCAAATCCACAATCTTCTTGCAAGGAATAACACCCACCCAGCCTCCGGTTTCTGTGCTTGGCAAAAAATTACTGAAGAATGCAATAACAGATCCAAACAATGAAAATATTTAGTACTATCCCTCACTGTAGTAATAAACTGGAGGAGTGCTCTGTCTGTAGCAGAATGTCCACAGAATTACGTGAGAGGTCACTTGAGCCTGGTACCTTTTGAAATCAGATCAAGGAAAACCACCAACATCTGTTACACTTTTGTACGTAGCTGTGACAGCAGAGGACTTGCAGTAGTACCCAACAAGTGTGGGTGCCAGAGGAGCTGTTCCTGCAGAATCTTCCTCTAGCAGCCCTAGCTTGGCCCCCACTATGCTTGGGGAAAATCAGTCCTGATTCTGAACTTGCTGGGGGCAGTTTCTCAGGTTGGGCAATTTGCAGTATTTTTTCAGATGTCAGTGAGTGAGTGTTGACTCTGAGGACTTTCCCAAGCCTGGGTGTGGGGAAACACTCCCTTCTGGCATGTCAGCTTTGTTACCCTCTCATAAAACAGAATAAATAAATATATATACTGATAAAAAAAAGCGGGGGGGGGCGGGAGGAAAGGGGTGAGGGGGAAAGGAAATGACTCTAAGCTCTGGTCTTAGAGGTCTGGAACTTCAGCATGAAATTAAGCAGCCTACTGCTCTTCTGACTTTGATACAGCAGGCAGGTGAAAGACTATCTGAACGTGATTTATATCCCACCCCTCTGGCACTGTCCAAACTTTCTCTTCTTCTGCTGGGCACAATGGGGAATGTGAAGAAAAAAGAGAATAATTATTTGATCCATCCATTTTGCACTAGCAGAGGGTTTCCTGAGGAGGGAAAGCAAAAGAAGAAAACAGGATACTAGATACAGCATGCTGGTTGCTGTGAGATGGCAGGAGAAATGTGATAACCTCCATCCATTCTTCTTGGAACATAAATGCAAACACGTTATCTGGCAGGTAAATACATATCCCACGCTCCTGTCTCACCATAGGCTGGAGCTCTGTCCCATCTTCATTATCCTGGAATGGTCTTGTGTTTCTGTGTTTTTGCCCTTCTGTTAACTTGTTACTCTGACTCACAAAGGTCTACAAGCAAAAACCAGGGTGAGATCGTTTGTGAAAGGAAATCATTATGGTAATAAAAATACCTGGTGAAGGAAGATAATTAGCCCAGGGCTAAGAAACTGTAGCTGGTTCCTGGCTGGATGACACTGAGTGATACTGTGAGGGACTGCAGAGGCAGCAAAAGTGATGAATGCAACTGAGAAAGATGAATCAAAAATCTCTGTTACATCTCCTACTGCAGGAATGAGGTTTCCAGCTGTATGAAATCCCTCCCCCTGCTCTCCACCCACTGCTGCATATTGTCCTGAGGGCCACAGAGCCTCCCTTCCACCCCCGGGATGTTTGTAACCTGATTGTAACACAGACAAGTCAAATGCCTTCATGTGTTGGGAAACTCCAAATTCTTGTCTGTGTTAGCAAACTTACTCTTGATCATACAATGAGGAGGAGTTTGGATGTGCTGCCCACAGTTTTTCCATAGAAGGGTATAGAGCCTGTCCTGCTTGGAAGACTCCTTGTCCCTGTGGGAAATCCTCTCTTCACCCACAGCTCTAGGGCATGGCTAATTACACAGAATTAAGAGCAGAGTTAAAGAGAAACTACCACAAAGTTTGGAAGTGGAGAAAGGAGAGCCTCTGTTTCATGAAGGAAAATTGGCTTAAGAAGTATTTTAGAATTTGGCAAAACAGAGAGGGAAGAACAGAGGTCAAGGTTTCGGAGTTTTCCATTTGGTTTTATATTCCTAGCCAGGAGATGTGCTTAAGTACTATTCTGAACTAAAGCCAAAGAATATATATCTGCTTTCTTCTGTACAAAGGGTTAAGCCTATCTTTAGGCTGCCTTTTTGTTGTGCTGTTGTTGTTCTCAACAAAATTCTATTAATATTACGGAAACTCTAACAGCAGCATTAAAAAAATAAATAATAACCAAAATTCCAAAACAGTTCTGACATTGTCCTGAAGAAATCCATCCAGAACATTTGTGTCATATGAGCTACTCTGGCTGCTGGCTATTTGTTTTCATGGATTACTAAGATTTTCTCTTGTGTAGTTTGTGAAGGAAGAGACAGAAGTGTCAAAAACAGCACAAAAGGAAAAAAATATCTGCATCTTCAGGTATTCTCTTAATTAGAAAGGGATGACACATATGTATTCAAAGGCTTAAGTTACAGCACTGCATCACTATTAGCTAAGTCCTGAAGGTAATACAATACAGTAATTACAAGGGTAAAGATGCAGAACAACCTGTCCGGAGGCAGAAGAGTTTGAGAGACAGAAGACAATGTTGTGGCAAAAGAATCTGTAAAGATATGAAGCAGAGCAACTCAGATTTGCATGAAATATGTTCAGAACTACAGCATCTGTAGGATGTGGAATGGATCCCTGACCTGCTACTTGTTAATTTTTCTCATCAGTGTACAGTGAATCACAAGAAATATAGGCATTAATCTTAGGGCACCCCATGGATCAATTTCTGCAGCTAGCTTGTCTATTTATTTATATATTTTAATTACCAACAATATATTGAAGATATATCTAATTAGACCTAAATAGTCAGCCATTACTTACAGAATATGATCTAAAAGAAGGCAGCAGGTTGTAGCTAAGACACAGGAGTCAGAGGGAGCCATTTACTTCAGTTTATAAATTAATGTACTTGTATCCCTGAGTTCATCCTGTTCTAAGGTGTTGGAAAGGAAATAGCATAGGTTGTGGGTTCAGATTACTAGGTCTTGGGGAAAGAAAAAATGCTTAAAATCTTAGAATGTCTCAAATATCTTTTCTGTAATCAGTGGGATTTACCAGCAGCTCCTGATCCACAAAGTATGGCTTCTCTCCAGTTCCATCATTTGTTTCCATATCAATAGCAAAGCAAAGGAACATGGCATCTGCTGTCACTTCAAACACAGACAGAAAGCTGTGAGACATCAGGTAGGCAAAAAATCCAACCAGCAACAGAGGAACTACCCAAGCTTGCAAGTCCCGGTGGTAGTTAAATGCCATCAATCCTCCAAAAACAGTGAAGCATACAACAAACACCTGCAAAGGGCAGTGAGAGAGAAGTGCAGCCTCATTAATCATGCAGAAATGGTTCTCATAAAAAAGCCAATCCCCCCAAACCCTGAGGCAAATACATTACAGCCAGTATTTTAAGAGCACATCTCATCTGGGAGATAGCTAAGCAATTTCCAGCATCACATACTTGTGACACTTTGTGTTCAATTCCATGTGTAAACACCACAGGGCAGAGGAAACATTTTGCCATGTATTTACCAAATACTTGATGCAACTAGAGCTGCCAGAGTGAGTCCAAGAACACTCCTATCTTACAACAAAATAACTCTGCAAAGTTAAATTCCTCAGATGTTCTTCTCTCCCAAGCTTATTTTATAGCATTGACAACACTGAATTTAACAAAGATAAACTTTATTTACTTTAGGTGTATGAAAAGATAATCAAAGCTGATTTTTCACTTCATTTTTACAGAACAAATATTTTTATTTACTCTTACCTTTCCTAAAAATAGGAGAAAATCTCCAAAGCAGCTAATGGATGCAAGTTTATCAGAATTCCTTGCCAAAATACTGACAGCATCCTTTGCTGATGTACAAAAATCTGTCCCATTTATGGCTGTAGTTGTGTATGCATGCTGAAATGACATAAGATAATAATGCAGTGAGAGAGGAAAGACTCATAATCTAGATTTTACTTCAGCAAAACACAAAGCCTTAAACTCTGTTTGGAATTACTGACTTTCTGAATATAAAGAGTTATTTTGCATAATATGGCATTTTCATTTTAAATTATTATAATAGTCATGCTTCTAAATTCAAAGAGTTTTTCTACATAATTTCCACTTTTAGCAAATGTTACAACAGTGACTAAATAAATTCCTGAAGCCACATTTATCCAGTTTACTTTAAAACACTGAAGTCCTCTACCTCAAAATTTGTGAATGAATATGATACAATTACCAGAGAACACCTGGGGTCACACAGTCCAAACTTACTGGCTATCTATCTCCAACACTGCTGGCCAACTATGTAAGTGGAAAAATGAAGTTATGTATTTACTGGGTCATTAAAGGTTGATGATTAAAAAGCTTTTACACATGGCTCTTTCAAACACTTTAGTGAAATTCAAGTTTATACTCATAGTTATTAAACCAACCTTTCTGTGAAGGATTCTGGACTAGACCAGTCACTGTATCATGTGCCCCCCCTCACTCAGAACAGCAGATAATTGGGGCACTCCCAGTTTTTCAATGTATTGAGAATTTTACATTCTATCGCTTGGTGGAAGTTTGCCTGGACAGGTGGGGAGGATAGAATATTTACCTTCATGGACTTGATTATTTTTGCACTTATGCATAAATTAACATGTATGTCCCATTTACGGACATCAAGGTTTTGAAACTATGTCCAAAACATCAGCTAAGAAAAGCAGCACGCATGATACATGAAACATATTCTGGGCTTTACCAGCAATTCTTATGAGTAGTTTCCCTTTACTCAAACTATTAGAAGGCAGATTACACCAGAAAAAATTTAGTCACCTCTGATATGGTCAGTAAGAGCCGCAGTGTGCAAGGGATTACTGTTCTAAAGGAATTTATAAACCCAAATATGTACATGGTGCTTACATTGCTTTCTGCTTCACCTGGAATGAAAAAATAAACAGCCCATAAGGGATTTTCTGAAAGTGAATTATACTGGCCTACTGAAAAACCTTCATGTTCAAAAATCTGGTTTTTCTTACTTACAATTCAAAATATAAAACAATTTCAGATATCTGAAGCAAAGAAAATTTGTTTCTGTAGAGCTCAGTTTTACCTCTGAGCAATTTCTGTAGCATAGCAAAGCTCTGACACTGTATAAGAGAAACAAGGGGGAAGGAGAGGAGAGGAGAGGAGAGGAGAGGAGAGGAGAGGAGAGGAGAGGGGAGGAGAGGAGAGGAAGTTGGATAAATGCAATCAAAGAGTTTTCACCTCTATTGTGGATATTATTGATATAAAATATAGTTCTTTTTCCTCAGAGACTAAAAAAAACCCCATTGACATTCTGTAAATACTGTACTTACATATTAGAAAATTCATCCATAGATGGAAAAAGTATAAATAAAGACCATGGATTTATTGCCTATTCTATGAAAACATCAGAGACACCAGTGAACTCTAAAGAAACTCAAAGAGTATCTGCATAAAAATATGTTTAAACAAGCAAGCTCACTTCATTCCTAAATAGGAAAAATGCTTTCTGTGCTAATTTTCATTTATCCTGAGGGTGTTCCCTTCCTGGCAGGATGCAGTCACAGCAGAACATCCCAGGATGCGGCAGCAGGAGAGCTGCCAGTGCCAGTCCTGCTGGCCCAGGACACAGCAGAGATGGCCTCACATCACGCTGCCTGTCTGACATCCATAGCTGTCACTGTGTGTTTCAGACATGGACAGATTCCTCTTTATAGCATGCTGTGAGTTCAGTCTCTTTCATCATTCCCATTAAACAGACAGGGAACTGAGACACAAAGTACAAAAGCGTTTTCTAAGATTGTTTTTGTCCCTTAAGAACTAAATTCACAGAGCAGATCCTGATCTGGTGAGGTCAGTATAAATGTTGCCAATAAATTAAACAGAGATTCTGTATTCATTATAAATTGCAAAAAATGTGTTTTAAAAATAAAAAAGAATGTTGAAAAAGCACGTGAGCTTGTACAAACATTGTTTCCAAACTTAAAATAAATACCCATTTGCTTGCACTCTTGATGTAGCCACTTTGGTATTCAAAGAATGTGCAATGAAAAGAATTTCTGATATTTATTAACTAGAATGGTTACCTTGGAAAGACTGAAAATGACGCTGGAGGCAGTACACTACCTGAACAGGCATTTGTTGTGTTACAAACCAGCTGATAAAAAATGGCATTTATAGCAGTTACAACTTAAACAAATAATGGAAGTATTACCTAATGTTAATACCCAAGAAATAAAGGCAGCCAGGTAATAATCTAACATTCTAGAATGAATAGGAGAGAGACAGAAATTAATGAACTGCTGAAGGCTACAAAACTAGTCAGACATATGTGAAGCAAGAATATTACCAGCACAGTTGGAAGACTCAGCCAAGTGATCTCTACCTTTTAGCAAAAAATACATTTCTGAGAAAAATATTTGAAGGGTTTCTTGTTCAGCCTAGAATCTTTTTTCATACACTTGCCTCACAATTTTCAAGTTTCTCATACAGACCCCATGCCCTGATCCCATCCAGCCATATAGAAATCTACATGTTCTCACTAACAAAGCATATCAAACATTTAAGCTAACCAACATTTCCGTGCAACTCAGCATTGCACAAAAATGAGCTCAAGTGATTTTTCATTCTTATTCATCAAGGAACACCTAGCACACACAAGTTAATACCTATATTTGCAAATCATTTTGGACTTTGAACTAAAAAGCTTATATATCCCATTAAGTTTAAAATTGCAGGATATGTACAATAATCCAGAGCCTTTCAAATTAAAGATTGTTGTGAAGGCTAAGATGGTAGACCATGGCCAGTTAAGAACCTGCTAACATTTAGAAATGGGTTACTTAAATATGTGTTTCTACAGAATATATTTTTCCATGTACAAAAGCTTTAGTGGATTTGAAAATGTTTGGGAGAAGGGCAGCAGGAATGATCCAAAAGGCATGGAATGTCTTCTGTCTGGAAAAGACACAACTGAAGGAGGATGCAGCAAGAGGGCTGCCGACTCATGAGAAATGCAGAGGCTGTGTAGGCTTAGATGGCTCACTGTTTCTTCCAGAACACAGGCCAGGCAGGGGCAGGACAGTATGAAGTAGTAGGAGCCAAATTTGAAAGCAGGCAGTATTCCTCTCACCATAAATCTGCAAACTGTGGACTGCTGGGCAAAGGACGCTTTAGCTGCTAGAAGTTCACACGAGCTCAGCAGAGATGGGGAATTTCAGGAAAAGGAATCTGCTGAGAGTTATTAAACACAGAGCTCAAGAAGTCCCTAGGTTGAAAACAGATTCAGAAACAGCACAGAGGCAGGGAAATATCCTTTTGTTCTACTTTAGCATTTGCTCACAGTCACTGCTGAAGATGGGATAGTGAGCTAGAAAGAGATTCAGTCTGATCCTTCTATACACGTTATAACTCATATTTGTAACTTTGCCTAATGAATTGATCTTTTACAGTGGTAGTCTCTGCTCTGATGACAAGCAAGTAATGGTGGCATTGGTAGCATTGAAAGCACAGGGGATAGTGGATTTGGATCAGCATTTATCCTTCCACCAGCAAGTTGATCTCATATCACCACCTCTCTGAAGAACACAAGCCTCTTCTGGCTTGGGGCCTGGGAACTAGACACTGATTTCTCAGTGTCAGGATGAATAAATAGGGAATGTGAATGTTTGCATATTTCCAAATACCACAGTATGCAAAAAAATCTATTTAAAGAGCATATCCTTCTGTGCCTCACAACACAGAATGTCAAAGGTCTTGGAAAAAGTGACCTGGTAGTTTCATGAGAAAGGCGCTGTGGCTCAGATCCAGGCTGTAAGTTCCCCAATTGTTGAGAATAATTGCTACTTTGTGTAACAGCTGAATTCAGTCCTCCATTCCAGGGCTTGCTTTCATAAAATGAGCTTGGGGAAGAGAAAATTGCCATAGCAACAGAATCTTCTTAAAAAGGAAGAAGGAGACATGCTGATCTCTCATCCCAGTTCAGCTTTTTCTGCTCTGCTGGTGTTTTCAAAATGATCTGATCTTATCACTGCCAACTCTCTTGGGGGCTGCCCTCTCTTGGGGTCAGCTACCCCCCAGTGCAGTGCAGTGCAGTGCAGTGCAGCTCAGGCTGGACCTTAAAGTGTCTTAGCCTGCAAGTGTCACTGATGCCAGTGGAAGCCCTTCAGAAAACAAAATCCAGTGGTAGCAAGAGGCAACAAGTGTGGTCGCTGTGCAGCAGTTAGTGGTCTGGTGAGAGAGTTGTATCATGACTCAGATGGTGGGAAATGAGAGCAAGATGAGCCTTGTGAGTCCCTGCCGAAGAGATGAGGACATACAAGACTGGAAGGGACTTTCAGCCACTCCAGTGCCTATTTCAAATTAGCATATTATGCCAATCTTCTCTTAAGTGGAAATTCCCTTCTTTAATTCACTTAGGACTTCCCCTCTCCCGGGCCCTACATTTGGAGCTGCTCCAGACAGTTGTCCCGCTGGTCCTTAGGAACCTTCCAACTTCCAGACATTTATTCATGAACAATTTAGATCTACTCTACTCTATTTTTCTGCTGATCTTGTCAGGCTTTTACCTTTTTCCCTACTGTCTCATAGATGGCTAACGGGCTTGCTCTTACCCTTCATTTGTCACAGGATATTCCAGTCCTCTCCATGAGATAAGCCTGAGCACATAACCAGCAACTTGTACAATGGCATTTATCTCCTTCTTTCCAGTGCAAGTGTTTCATCTCGTAGCTTCCAGGACTGACTCCGTGCTTCCTGCAGCCTTGTTAAAAAAAGGCTATTGTCCTGTGCCTGACAAACACATGGAGAATATTTTTCTTCTCTACTTCTAATCAATAAGGACAAACAAACAGCTAATACAGAAATGGTTATTTTTTGTTCCTAGGCTAATTACTATCTGTTAGAAACTTTCAATAACCTCCTGAATTTTCCCAAGTACTCCAAAAAGCATAACTTTCATTTATTTCCATTTCACCTTATATTTTCAGTCTGGACTTACTGGAGAAAATTTTCAGGTTTCCTTGCTTCCTACTCTCTGTGTCACCTACTCCCTCCTTGGCTGTCATCCAGTGGGTAGGACCAACACAGCTTTCTTCTTGAAGGATAGTCAGGTGTCCTTTCCTGCTGCATCAGTTTTACACGTGGGCTCCGTTTCCGTTACAGGGTTGGATCAAAAGGATCCTGTTTTATGTGCTCATTGCATGATGATTACATCATTACTGGGGTTGCTTTCAGTGCTTCTGCACTTAGTGAGAAAATGTTCTTATTTGGGATTTCTGAAATAAATCAATCTGAAAATTTCCAGAGAGTTGTTCATAAATTTCTTTGCTTAAAAGCACAGAATTATATGTCACTTGCTTAATTGCATTTTCTTTTCTTTTTCTCTCTCTTTTTTCCCCCTTTTGTTTCTTCTTAATGGGAGTGGGAAGAATAGAAAGATATCAAAGTAAGAATTAGTCAACTTTTTTCAACTCTATTCCCTATATGGTTCATCCTACAGAATGAGTTAAGACCTAAAGATTTTTGTTTCCTATTATCATATACATAAAGTCTGTAGAGGGGAGATCTTCTTATTTAAAATATTATTTCACTGCAGAAGAACATTTTATCCTTGTATTTTCAAGAGGATTGAAAAATTAGCTCTATATCTAGAAGCAATATTGCCAGTAACATTAAAATGCATTATTGTTTTTGGGAGGAAAAAGAAGTACTTGATGGGGTGAGGCACAATGTGTTTGGCATGGAGAGAACTGTGCTTTACAATAGCATGCATGAATTTTGGTTTTATCTAGGTGAATTCTCCACAAGGCATTTAACTGAAACCTCCTGATAGGCTTCCATCCAAAGTTTAAGAGACAACCAAATGCTATGGATATACAGCCATTAGACAGACTTGCTTTTGCTTTATTACACTGGACAATTGATGGCTTTCACTCCCCAGGAAGGGTCTTTGTCCCAGGAAATGGGGCTCACACCCTGCTGAATTCATTGACAGCCCAGAAGGCTGCACTGCAGCAACCATACTGATGAACACAGAAACCACACCCTGCTCAGCAACCGCTTCAGAAACCCAGGCACTGTACTTTGGAGGAGTCACTTTGCCAACTGGCTGCAGATGGACCTAAAGCAGACACAGAAAAGCAAAACTATCCAGCTGTATTGTTTTAAAAAAGCCACTGCAACAAGGCTGTAAAGGGAGAACATGTGAGCACTTCGATGTATCTAAAGTTAAGACTGCCATTACAACTTAAGAAAGCAGGAGAGACACAGATGTCATAATTCCCAAATCACATTAAAAGCCATTATATTCTTTTTACAGAAGAAAAATTTCAATCTCCTAGATTTTACTTGAGATGATTGGATATGTTTATCTGGAACATACTGAAACCATCAGAGCCAGATGAAAAATCTGTGGTAATTCTGACAAGTGTTGGCAAACAGAACTGTCAAGTAAGGATAGTGACTTTATATTCAGAAAGCACTTTTCAGCCACAGAACCCTGAGTGCTTTACAATTGTTGCTAATGGATTATACACACACATGAATCACTTTGCCCATGACTGAAGTGGAACAGCTTAAGGAGTGAACTGTTTTACAGCACGTAGCAACACTACACCACAGTTTAGCACAGGATCCAGTTGCAAATCCAAGAGAAATTTAGGAAGGCTGAATGTAATTGTCCATATTGCAGACTGCACAGGACACTGGGCTTACATTACCCCTCCTCCAACAAACCCCCCTGCAAATATGACAATTGCCAGCATGTAGCACAGCACTCTGTCATGATGGGAAGATGACAGGGTAACTCTTTGGCTTGTTCCACTTCCAGGGAGCTGAACGAAAAGTAACTGAGAATGAGTCACTTCAGGGATGCATGCAACTATTAAAGTCAGTATTAAATATCACATGCAGGGTGGTACTGCAGCCAAAAAAAAGTACCCTTAGATCACATAATAGAGCACTTGGTTGATCCTGCATGGGAAGAAAGAAGTTTGCATTCTTTCACCGGGGCCACTTTCTCCAGCACCTGTTTCTCATCTGCCAAGTTCTCAGAGGGAAAACAAAGTACTGTTTAATCCTGATTAAACTTGTGAATAAAGGAACAGAAAGAATTTAAATTACCTAAGCAGTTTAACAACAGGTTGAAGAAAATAGTACAGAAGTGATTGGATCTTCTATTTTTATTTTTTTTTAGAGCTTCAGATAATGATATGCTTTTCATTAAAGTGAAAATAATGCTAGAATAAAAAGCAAAAGAATAGTAAATAGTAAGGAATGCTAATGTACACAATGATCTTTGGATCAACTTTTACAACAGCTGTTCCACATTTTAGGTTACAAAAAAATCAAAATTTGAACTTAAAGAATACTTTAAGAAAATGTTAGAAACACAGGTACAATTTTTTAACCCCTTCCTCCCAAGTCCTACTCTCAGGTCTGTGTTCAGCATTTGTGGGAGATTTCTGTGTTGTCCCCAGCAGCTTCCACCAGTCTCAGTAGGAGCTCTCAAGAGATCACTAATTCTGTTAATCAAGAAATATGTCAAAGCTGCTTAAAACTGCAGAAATTTTTTCCTTCTTTTTTTTTTCTTTTCTCTTCTACATACGGCCACAGATTTTACAGAATCAAAGACTAAGACTTTCAATCATAATAAAAAAAATAACAAATAGCTTTGAACAGATTAGTTATAGGGGGAAAAAAAGAAATAAATCATTAGATCCACAAATTACTTAACGAGATGCAATAACTCAAGACCAATGTTTAAATTTCGTACAGATAGAAGTTCTATTAAAATCTTGTGGTCTGTTCTTGCTTTTTTTCTTCTCTAATTATTGCCCAAATTGCCCTGGATTTGAAACATGTGGACAACCATCACCTTTGCTAAAAATATATTCAAAAAGCAAAACAAAAGTGAACACTTTATTATGATAATTAGATTAAAACAACTCACATAAAACCAGAAATCTGCCAACAATAGAATAGGAAACAGGAAATCTTTAAAGGGGAAAAGAGCTACAATACAGCCTTCTGAAACAAAAGGAAGAACGTTACAGTAATTAATTCTTTTAACAAACACATAGCAGAAAACAGCTGGAGAAAGTAAACACTAGGATGCTGGATATCTCTTTGAAAGGCAGGAAGCCAAGCCAAGGGGAAAGGGTGACTACAAATGGAAAGCCTGGAGGCAAAATGAACTCTGATATTCCTCACCAAGTCACTGACTACAACACCTACCTAGAAAATGTAAGCCTGGAAAATTCAGAAATTTCACTGCACAAGTATTTAATCTATGGTGAACTAAATAGAAAACTTTCTCTTAATAACTGTCCAAGTCTAAACCTAATTTATGCATCTACTTAAGAGGATAAGTCAGACCCTTTATCAGAATTGTCTTGTTTACTTCACTACTACCCTCAGCAATGAGAACAAAGAACTCAGCATTCAGAGGGTGGAATCAGCTGAACATATTATTCCCTTTCACATTAAGAGTATCACAGTTTCCAGAGATAAAAACAAGGCAATGACAAAGACAAAAACAAACCATTCAGAATTATATATGTAAATCTGGAATGCATTTGGGGAAAAGAATTGTGAAGGTAAAAAGAGATGTCAAGTATCTGTAAAACTGCTGTATGTCAGAAATCATCCATTTCCAATTAAAACATCTTTTAAACAAAAGACTGCTATCATCTTGGTTTGTATTTCCAGATCTACTGATACTGGCAATCACTAGGAATTGAAGTTTCTTTATTCAGGACTTTCAGGTGGAAAACACTGTAACTAGTTAATGTCAAATCTCCAGGTATATTTCCTAATTCTTCCTTGCTTCCTCCTACCTGGACTCTCTGTGTTTCAGAAGTCTGTCTGGCACAACTCAACAAATTAAGTCTTCTTACCAACAGAAATAGCAAGTGGCCCTCTGAAAGGGCTGACTATCTCAAGCTGTATTAGTAAATTTTCTAAAATCTAGCACCTTGCATATTTGTCAATTCCCTGTTTCTTCGCACCAAGTACTTGGAGGCTTTTTTGTTTGTTTAATTTAGGTGGCCAGCGGGAAACTTTGGCCACCATGCATGCCATGCTAAGCCATTTTTAGCCATGATAAGGGTCATGCACCAACCATGGTATCCAGACTAGGCTGAGGGACAGAGATGACGGAGCATACCTGGTTAAAGTATCTTAAGCAACTCTTCTGGATGCAAACCCAGCAGAAACAGCAGTTGAACTGGTGCTTTGCATTCCTCTGCAATAAAATGAAAAGATTGGTTATTGGACACATAATTAACCTCAAACAAAACCACTGTTCTAAAAAACTTGCTTTACAGGTGACTGACTCTTCTAATAAAATTTTCACTTAGGCAGCAGATATTTATATTAGGATTTTAGGAATAGTTTTTAATTCAGACTGTTCAATACTAATGACTGCAGAGCTGTGCTTTTTTTTTTTTTTTTTCTTCCTGTGGATGGAAGATTTTTCTCTGGGACAAGAAAATATGTGCTGCAAGCAGCTTTGTGAGCTAATAGCTGCCTGGGAGAAAAACAGGCAGGCAAGTTAGTAATCCTTAAAGCACTTCACAGTGATCAGGGAGTACAGAGACAGATTTTTAACCTGATTATCAAAAACTTTTCACAGTTCTGAAATGACTGGTATCCTACTGAACAAAAATAAAAGAATGGGTAGAAAGGCTTATATGAACATACATTTGTTTTGACTCAGAGCATTACATTCATTTTTCAGGTCAGGAAGAGAAATCTTGTATTAGAACAGGCTATTCATAGACCACTGAGCTGTATTAATTTCATAGCAAAAACTGAGCAGTAAAGCTTAAGGTTTGTTCCATGCTCCTCCATCACATCATGAGCTCAAAGCAGTTCATCATGGAGATGATGCAAGATAAGAGCAAGACATCTTGGTATCCAGAGTAGCCTTCCAAAATTAAGTGCCTGTTTTTCTAAACAAAAGGAAATCCAGTTCAGGGATACTTGGTCTTTTTAATCTTATTTTTTCAGAGGTCAGAATATTTTTATCTTGTTTTGGAAAGCAGAGATTTTCCAGTCACTATAGAAAATTCAAGTCCCAACAGCTACTACTGTTCAAGCAGAAATCACAAACCTCCCAAATTTTTCCAAAAAAGGTTCATGAAAATATTCCAGGAATAACTCCTTCAAAACAGTGACTGTACATGCAAACTCCTGACAGAGAATAATTTACTCTTGCTATGTATTGCTGGAGAGATGATTTTGCTAAAGCTGTTATCTCAGTAAGGATTGTTTGTTAAAAGCCTAGAGCAAGGGATCTCACCTATAATCTCCTCTCTGATTTTGCGTGAAGACTGCTGTGTAGAAAAATCTGTAAATTTACCTGCAAGCTCGCAGGCCCCTGACTTCTTCTCTGTTCATAGAGAACAGCAACATTTTTTGCAAGGGTGAGGAAGTCTGTGTGAGATCTACAAGAATGCAGGGTCACTTCTCCATCCTTTAGTCCAACGACTCTGGCCCTCAGTGAAAGGGGCCACAGCTGTCCTTTCTGCCATGCAAAGGAGCAAGGTTACTCGTGGGGGATCCTTCCCAGGACTGAGCACATGAGCTGCCCAGAGCACTTTCTAGTCTCCTTAGCAGCAGCTACAGCTGTGGGTCATGTCACTGAGGGCTTGGGAGCTGGACCAAAAGGAGCCTACAGCCCGGTGCTGCAGACACAAATCATCTTTCTTTGCTGTTTAAATCTACAGTATTTCAGATTACAAGACCATGTAACAAGCAAGCCCACTTATCCTGCTTTCTCTAAAGGCAGAAAATATTCTGAGTCATCCCACCTACTGTCTTTATACAATGTTCTTAGTTAACACAACTCACCAAGTTTTATAACCAAAACTTTCATATGAAAGCAACATAAATCCAGCCCACACCTTTCAAGTGTTTCATTACAAGGAGTTTTTATTTAAGCATTCATAACCTATAGCCAATACATGCTTAATAGTAAATACATTGTCAGTGTAAATGTAAACACCCTGACATAACTATACATCACACACTTCAAGGCCAATGTAAACCCTAAAGGAAAAGACCTACATTTAAAACCTTTTCTTAAATCTTCTCCTAAAATCAGAACTGTGCATTCCTGACAGTCCTCCCTCCTTGCAAAAGTGTCAGAATTACCTACAGTGGTGTGCTTCCAGCAGAAGATAATAGATGTGGAGATGCATGAAAGGAAAAAAGAAGGCAAAAAAATATTCAAAACAGCCCAGATCTACGCTTTATATGTCTTAAAAGATGTGTCTTGGACACTACAACTCCCAGGAACAGTTCTTATTCCATATATTCTTTCTATAGAAGCATATTACAAGGCAGATGAAGTATTTTCTATAACAGATTTTAAATCCAACAATAGTATTCTTACTCCTGCTTCTTAAAAAAAGAATGCAAAAAAATTTTAGTAGAGCAGTCTGCCAATTTTTTTCTTTATCCTTCAGAAAAACATTTGTATAAAAACACTAAATAAAGGTGAGTTTCATATTGGTATTTTCTGCTTTTAAAATTATGAGACATGAGAATAAAAAGGAAGCATTGATATTTGAGTTGGGAGAAAAAGCTTTCCTAATGAAGAAAACATGATAAAATATAAAATCCATCTATTAATAATAGACAGTAATTGCAATACCATCTATTTTTAAGCAAGAAATATATTCTTCACTTCTTTGCCCCATGATCTCATCTTTAAACTACTATTTTTATAGTGTTACAGAAGTATTTACCTACCTTTTGGTTTAGGATATTGTAAAGGCACAAGAGAACAATCCTTGGTATTCTCAGTATTGTGATTAGAAATGAGCCTTTCACAGCAGTTCCTAGGTGGTAGCAGAAAAGAACTGATATGGAAGACAGGACTGGGTGAGGTGGTGGGTTATTTTTATTTCTAGAAAAAGAAACAAACAATTTTTAAAATTGTTTAGCAAGTTATTTAAGAAGATAAGCATTGTGTCTTTTCAGTATTTGGAAATTTTAAGAATTAAGCTGTTACCTCCTTTCCTAATTGAACTACTCCAGTTTTTCTACTGACTTCATCTAAATGTTCACCTTAGTCCAAAGAAAAGCAGCCCAATTTATAACTTCTGTGTTAGTTTAATTCTTAAGAAATCACTCTTTTCTGGAATGGAAAAATATCTAGGAAAAAAACTACAATGGAAAATAGGAGAAATAGGTGAACAATATCTGAGAATGCTCCTTGAACACCTCTTTCCAGTTTCTGTCACTTCTCTTATTCTCTGCAATCTTTTATTTAACTCTTGGTTCTGCAAGATTTTAGTCTGAGGGAATGAACCCACTATTTCTTCTTTAATGGTAAAATTAAAACTAGAAAATAAAATCACAAGTTTTCACATATAAAATTGAGAGCTACCATCTACTTTTATAATTGCAATTTGGTCAAATTTGGTTTTAAATTTTTTAAAAAATATTAATGCTTTTTTTCCCTCCCACAGAACAGGCTTTCTTTTAAAATTGAATACAGCAAAAAAGCAATATCACAGTATATGTTTAGGAATATAATCTGAACTAAAAAAACTTGTAGTTCTAGCGCACACTAATCTGTATTGTTTTGGAAAAATAATGTCTGCCAAAATCAAAAGCAAAGACAAAAAAAATGGCCTAAATGCAAGTTTTATTACTTTGCTTCCTTTATAAAGGTCAGTTTAATGTCAGTCATTTACAGACAGTAATATGACACAGTTCTCAAGAATTTATATAAACCTCAGGAAATCAACTTAAAGAGATTCCCTCACACCTTGTCAAATGCTGAAAAAAAATCAACTAGATTAACACTTTAAGTACATTTTAAAATGTTGCATAGGATAAAAATCCCCCATACAGATCAATAGTTATAATTACACCTTCCATAAAGTAATTCTTAAGTAACCGGCCCAACCCTGAAATATTTAGTTAGGCAACAGAACCAGCAGCAGTTTGACTAAGTAGCTACATAAAGATCAGACATAATATCACAAATAAGAAGCCCTGTTTTCAGAATTGATTTCTTCAAAACTTCTGTTATCTTGAAAAATCAGTAGTTTGCACAAGAAATTAAAAAGTAAAAATACACCAATAAGAGAATGACTGGTTTGGGCCAAGAAGCTCTAAAAATATAATTTTATTAAATCCTCCCTTCAGCAAGGATTTAAATCATACACACTATATTCAGGAGTGGGATTATAGTTCTGCAAGAATCCTGAAGGTATCACTGCAGTTCATTCAAAACACAAAAAACTTTGCAGTGGAGAAGTTGTATTTAAATATGTGAATATACCACATTATTTGAAATAGGAAATTCCAGCAAAGCATTTGCTACATTTATTATTTTTGTCTTAAAACCAGGGGAACAGCTTGGGGGATAGTGGAATTTTATACTGAATAAGGCAGTTTGGGTTTTTTTTAGTCATCAGGTTTCTGTGTTACAAACACATGCATTGTATGTGGATGAATTATTCTATTCATATTGAGCCACTGTTTTTTTCTCCCCGAAACACTTCCTTACATATGACAGTGTCAGTTTGATCTCAGAATACAAATTATTAAGTTTCTACAAGTTAAAGGTTAACTAGTGATAAGAAACACAGAAAGAGGAAAATTTATTCCTGTGTTAATAATGCACTTGTTACTGAAGAGAAAAATGAAGAAGGGTTTTGATATTTTTAACACAACTAAATAATGAGCAGGAATGTAAAAAAAAAATAAAATTAAAATGTAAAGCTTTGTTTAGATAAATTTTTACATATTTGGATGCTTTTCCACAGCTCCTTTTCCTAGCAAAGAAATTAGCACAAGAACAGGGTCTGACAAGGATTTTGCTTTACCTCCAAACTGATTAGAAAAAGAACAGATTTTCCTTGTAATTCTGGTTCAGAGTAGGAAACAGGAAAGAGGCTAAACACAGCAACAGGTGATGGTTATGACTGTAAACAAGCTCAAGATTGGCTCTAACCTACTCCCATTGCTCCCAAGGCTGAAGTTTCACCCACCTTTGTGCATTATGTGGCTGCAATCCCGAAGTGGCTTTAGCACAAGCATACAATCATTATGCAGTGCATTCAGTGCATGTGAACTCCACTGCATGTGCACAAGGTATCAGGGAAATCTGGGAATCTGCCTGATTGGTTATGAGACTGAATGGAGCCATAGCTTGCTTTTCCTCTTTGGTATTTCTGTTTTATGTTTTCATGAGATTGATTTACATACAACACTACTATTCCAAACTCCTGTGGACCTGTATTCAATACCACATTATCTTTTAATAATTTTATTTCTTCACTACTGTTGATTGCCTTCATTTACTTGTGAGCTCTGTATCTGACACTCAGTATCTTTTTTTTAACACTAAGTTCCTTGAATCAAATGATCACACATGCATCTTCAATTTCATTTGAAAAACATTTTTGTGACAAGAAAAAAATGTCATCTTGACACACCCAAAATACAGATATTTGAATGGGAGAAAAGTGTATTTTTTTCCTTTCTTTAAAATTCTCTTCTCTTAAGAGCTATCCTTACAGCTTTCTTCACTTATGTCTCACCAATTCCAAAGACTGTCTAAAACTAACTTTAGTATAAAATACTTCAGAAATGTTAAGGAATGATTATTCTATTCCTCAAGTAAATATGAATCTTAATTTTTAAACAAACACAATAAATTAGAAGATTTGTAATAAAACAGACATTATGAGACTAACAGAGACCACACAGACTGTACTGCACTTTTACCTTATCTCAAAGCCACATGGAACAGGTCTGGCTACATACATGCTGGTGGCTCTTTTAGGTCAATTACGTAAGTAGGGCAAAGGATATCCATAAATATTGCAGATACATTTGAAGGGGAAGCCTTTACAAGTTTGTTCTAGTTCATCTCTCAATGACTTTAGTGCAACATCCATAAACCTTCATTTTTGACTTACTGGGAGTGATATGTATGTAACTTCTCTTGGAAACTGTGGTACTGAACACCTTAATCAGGTAGATAACCCCAAACCTTAATTTCAAAAATGTGCAGTGGTATATGTGCACTCGAGCTACTAAAGAAGCTTAGACATGGACAGAACCATGATGCCTTACTCCCAGAGAGTAGTAAATAGTAAATAGGGAAAGGCTCATCTCCCTGCAAAGGTAAATAGATACATAACACCTAAGCACATCAAGGTGAGAATAAACCCGCATGTAAAACACCAGTTATAACAAAGAAGGCTTTTTAAAAGACCAAGCCCTTTCCACAAGTTGTAAAATGCAATTCTTAAGCAAGAGAATCTACTTATTTTTATTAAATTAATGAAATCTTTTGTGTATTCATATTTAATTTAAAATAAAAGAAGGCCAAATCCATTTTCAGTCGTGGTATTACAGGCCAAATATATGTGTCCTGTAAAGCTAATCCAGGTAGAACAACCCCCTGCACACCCCATGTGCAACTCAGCCATGGTTGTTGGCCATGCAAGGCATTGCTGAGTGTGCTGTGGAAGGAGATTTCCGCATGGGAAGGCCGGGCCATTTCCTCGGAGTGCTCACAGGACAAGAAGAAAGCCTGTCTGTAAGATCCCATAAACAAACTCTTGTGACATGCCTTTATGATGCAGCCTCAGGGAATACATTAAAAACACACAGCAGACGAGCTCAGAGTTGCTGGAACATCTCAAGATAACCCTTGCCCTTGCTGTGTGGCTGCTGCTGCAGCTAACCACCCTCTCCCCAGTCCTGCACTGCCCTGCATCTCTGTGGATCTGTGCTGACAGCCTGAAGGCCAGGACATGGGATTACCAGCACAGAATAGTTGCATTTCCCCTTGCAAACACAACCCTCTCAACACAGTACAGGTCACCTGGCAAGCAAGAGGAGAGCTTAATTGTATTGTACAAAATGATACCAATACAATTGGGAGCAGGAACCTTCTGTACTTGGCAGCCAGTTCCTGCAGCAGTAAAAAATAGCTGGAAAGCGGAAGCCCCTAGCAGAGCAGTAAATGTCATCACAGCAGTTTCTACAGGTGCTTCCCTCCTCTGCATGAACAAGATATGGACAGTGCCTTTGCCTTGGGGATTTACGTGGTGTATTGCACCAAAATGCACTGTAGCACACAGCCCAGGAACTCAGCAGAACTACTTTACTTTCCTGTGCTTTCTCAAGCCAGTTTAAACGAACTTTTAGTGCCTCAGCATTCATTCAGCTGCTAAAACTGAGGTACATCAATGTGCTTACAAGAGAAGAGCAGCTCACTACCCACAGCAGCACAGCCATGGGAGTTCCAGAGCTTCAGTGGAAAAAAAGTGATGACATCAGAAATGAGAGTTCCTCCCTTTCCAGGTCCTGTTACAGCATGTAAAATAGAAGGGTGAGACTATGTCACTCTTTCAAAAATATTTCAACCCTTAGAAAAGCAACATTTTAGGTTTTATTTGCTCTTACCTAAGCACCAGTTCAGTGGCACAGCTGTTGTGTTGTTAATCCTCACAGGGACAGGCTCCTGATACATATGTTAGGCCTTGTCCTGCCTTGGCTTTTTGGATGGGATTATAAAAGATTGCTTAAACCAGGGGTGGAAACTTGCTGTTCCTAGATCTTCCAGCCTTGCTGCTTTGGCTGGAACTGCACAACTCCATCAGGTGCTGCAGGAAAACCCTACAGAGCCAGTCCTGCAAGCAGAGCCTGCACTGTCTCTGCTGGCCACTGAGGAATACACCATTTGGAGATCTTCCAGCAGCAGCCTCTTGATCAGTGACTGAAACACCCAAGGATACACTCTGGAGACCATCCACAGAACCCTGCTTCCTAATTTTCAGAGAAGGCCAAAGGCATCCTTCCCAGCTGTCCCAGCCATATGGCCCTAGGCAGCAGAACCCCCACTCCAAGGGCCTTAGGCTCTCTCAGGCCAGGCTCACCACCTCAATCTCACATCACCTTCCTCAAGGGTTAATTTTTCAGCAAATTGAGGTTATCATTATATTCCTCGAATACAAACTGAAGAAATGTCTTAAAATGCCAGAGTTTTGCACAGATAGAAAATCTCATCACTGGCCATAGAAGAACAGCACTGAGGATGAGAGAGCTCATAAAATACTCAGGAGAAAAAATTTATCAGAAAAATGCTCTCTTCATTGTCAAAAACTCAACCACAATGTGAGATTTAAATCTTCTCTTGCAATGAGTGCATAAAATCAATTTTATTTCATTTTACTTTTCCTTGTTTCCTCCACATTTACATTCCAGGGTATATAATAGACAAGAAAGTTTGTTCACACATGTCTAAACACTTTACAGTGTTAAAGCATTTATAGTTAAATGAAAATATCTGCACAGAATGAAAAAAAAAATATTAGACCAACAGTTATTCAGGCAGACCAAATGGAAACCCAGAGCATGGATGAACACTTACAAAGAGGTAAAACTGCCCGTGAATACATGAAATTACCAAGGAACAATATATTGCTTCTCATTTGGAGCTAACACAGTCTCCTGGAAAAGGGTGCAGTGCAGCCTGTGCCTTCCAAATGGTAATTTCCCCAGAGCCAACAGAGTTCCAACATCAAGCCCAGTTTGGCCCAGCATCTCCAGCAGCAGGGGTGAGTCACATTAATATCATGCAAATTGTAAAATCTTACTCAAGATCTTGCAGTAAGCAACATTATTTTATAGTAAATTGGATTCCTGATATTGACATAAATTGCAGTCTAATTGGGACTATTTTTCCTAGAAAAAAGATTGAAAGTAAATGCTGGAAAATCCCCAAACTATCAGGAGCAATTCTGCACTCACCTGTTGAAATAACAAGTAACCACTGCCCCAGCAATCACCATTTGCTGACAGGCAAGAATGAATTCACTAGTCCAGATAAGGCCAACGAAATGATACCATGCCATGTAGCAAATTCCAGACAGAGCTCTGTATTCTACTTGTCCTCCTGAAGTGGACTGTGCAGTACCTGAAGTTGGGATTACACCACTGTGTTATTATAACATACCAGACAAGGAGGGAAAGGAGAAAGGGGGACAGGGACAAAGAAGGACATGGAAGTGGTTCTGTGCATGTTCTCTTAACTTCTCTTCAGTAAGATACAAAAAAAACCCCCAAAATTCTATGCTATTTAATTCTGTCCATTCTAACAAAGTTAGAGAAACAACATTTTATAATTCAACTTGGATTTTGAAAAATAAAATCTCACGAAAATAAAAGATTGTGTTTAAATTGGGATTGAGACACAGCTACCAATAAAGGAAAAAGGAAAGCTACATATTAGAAAAGATATCTGAGAAGACATTACTTTAGACTTGAGTAATCAAATAGTTCAGAAGTAAATGAAATCTTGATTTTCATTATTCAGATTTGAAATAAATGCATAGTTGTGAAATGCTTTAGGATTTTTTGTAAGAAGCAGAAGAGAAAGACTACAGAGAAATATTAAGGATACATAATATACTGTTGCAGCAAAACAAAACAAGTATTTTAATTGCTATTACTAATGAGAACCATGGCCATTAGTCTGTTCTCTATACTTTGCAATCTTTGTGCAAAATACAGGCAGATACAGGCAATCTTTGTGCAAAATGTAGGCTCTTTGGGGAGGAAAAAAGCAGACATCTGTATGGTAGTACGTGCTCCAATGTTACTACTGTATCTAGGAGCGTGGATAAATTAACTTATCCAAGTTAAAAACATTCCTTCCGCTTCTGTTACCAACAAAGAATGTATTCGGTATTAATAGGTGCCTTTTGACAAAAGGTGTGGGCAACTCAGATTCCTCAACAATCAGACCTTTTTTCTGTGCAATCCTATTTGTGGCACTTGACTCTGAAGGGTAGTCAGGGGATAATGGCATTAGGACAATTTGATCCTAGTACAAGGTCTCTAGGTTCCTAACGTGTTTTGGGGTTTTTTTAATTTTTTTTTTTTTTTTATTTTACCAAGCCTTAAGTCTACTAAGCTTAAAGAGAAACATGTCCACCAAATAAAACAATCTCTGGAGGTGAGTAGTTTCTTATTCCAACTCCATGAAAGAAATAACAAAGTGAGACAGAATTGGCTATTACTGCTCAAACACAATATAACTTAAGCTTTAATACTTCATGTATTCATTTTGTGTACTTGGCAGTGTTAGGTTTACAGCTGGACTTGATGATCTTAAAGGTTTTTTCCAAGCTAAATGATTATATATCTCTGTGTTCTCTTACAGGACAAAACACCACATTCAAGTTAAAAACCACCACATATACAAAGCTATCTAGGAAATGGTTCCTTTCTGGCCTGTTTTTCTACAGCCACAGACTTCTTACTCAAGAATAACTAAAAGTAGAAACAGTAAAGATTTGTTTCAGCAATACCATCAGATTTAGACAAGCTTTTTCTAAGTTTTCAGAAGCAAGGCCTTTTAGTCTGTAAATTAAGAAAAATATCCATCTACCCCATAGTAGCACTGCAACATTATTTTAAAGTTCTTTGAAAGATAAAAAAAATACTACATGGATACATAAATACAGACATATGTTCTAGATATTTTCTTTTCTGAGAGGTTAACAATATTGGCTGAACAGGCAAGCTCTCTCCAGTGCTGTACAGTTGGTCATTCATAGAAATACTGTAGTGCTTCCAATATATTCAAATGAATTTTGCACTGTGAAGTGCAAGATGTTTGATGGTTTGAAAAAGCTACTACTCAGATCTCTTCTCATAAACTCTCCCTCATTCCTCCCCATCCTGTGCCTCACTGGCCTTAAGTTTGCAAAAGTGAGGGTTTTTAAGGTGAGTTCTTGAGGACATAATCACTTACTTAAGTCATTGCAATAAGTGAGGCACCACATAATTATGAATTCAAGAGATTTTTCATTTCCCATATTTCTTTCAGAGGCTCTAGACTGCCTTTTCCTGCAGCACACACAACTAGCCAAATACATTCATTATCCATAGCCCACAGCCTTCACTAAGGGAACTTAGGCAAGCAAGATGTCAGTGAGACACAAGGTGTCCTACCTCTCCATTTTCATGCAAAAATATTACACCATTTGGTAGCAGAATTAAGGACATTTTCCACCATACAATCCAACTGAACATTTCTTTTTGCAAAATAGACCTGTTCAGGCTTTGTATCAGTAGTGTTGTCATGAAGACTGAAAAATGTTCATATGGCAAGCTAATCCTGTTTGCTTTTTACCAGCCTACTGAAATAACCACCTGCAGTAAAAACAGTAATGGCTTTGTCTTTCCTGGACAACCTTGTACTTTTGCATGGGCACAGTGCTGTGCTCAGCTGCACAATCAGGCAGAGCCACCTGTGACTTCACCTTCCATCACTTTGCTGGTCAGGTATGGTAAACTAGTTTTGTTATTTCACAAAAATCTGTTTAATGATATAAACACCTCTGTCCAATTTCCTGTCTTCTGGGCCTACCAGACATGCTTGATTTTGTCAACAGAACTACATGCCTATTTGTCTATATCAGTATCTCAGATAAACTTTAAAGTTGTCCTAGATAACCTGTCAAGAAAAGTACATGCCATTTTCCTTATCATTGTACTATGATCTATCTGTTCATAAAAATTAAACTTTTTCAACAAAACCCTGAAATACAGTTTAATTTGTCAACAGAATATTTTTCTCCAACAACACAATAATGAATGTTCCCAGTGTACCATACACTCTTAACGATGACATTAACAACTCAGTAAAGAACTAAGTCCCCACAGCTGAATCACCTAATCTGGAAGCCTTTGATCAGTACAAGTGTTGATCTGCTGCCAATACTTCAAAAGAAGTGATGTTAACAATGCAAACAGGCCAAGTGTTTGCAGCAGAACCCGGGGAGAATTTCCCCGTGGGACTCGCAGCCCAGCGCTGCCCTGGCAGCCAGCACAGCAGGCAATGGGACACCAGTCGGTGGTGGCTGTGTGTGGTACCTTCAGCTCCATTTTGGGACTGCCAGACTTAAGTCAGATGTCCTTATCCAGCAGTTGCTGCTCTGAGGCTTTGCTGATGCCTGCAGCAACAGGCTGTTGTAAGAGACAAAAATTCCTGGGAAGTTTAGTCCAGCAATTTCCTTATCACAAACAAAGAGCCACTGACAAGAAAATACTGAGAGCCTGTTTATCAGTTCCTGTTAACATGAAAATAGGTTGTGCCCCTCCCACTGTGAGGAAAGGTTCTGGAATCATACACTGAATCTTAGTGCTTCCTGCAACACAATCTACTGTGTTATCTTATTTTGTGCTTTTTCACGTAAATGTATTTACAGGTAAGCTACCTGACTGTAATTGGAATGCCAAGGCCCCTGCAGGAAATACATTTTTATTGCTCATTTTGCTGTTGCACAGCTTTATGTAGCAGTTCTGCTGCTCACTTGCCTGTAGGATGCACCTTCATTACACAAAAAAAACCCCCACACCACCTTCTCATCCTACATTTGCAGTATTTACACCATGTGGACCTCACAGCTCCTGCACTCTGGAAAGTGGAAACAAATTCTCTGCTGTGCCACATGGCCACTTCAGTTCTGCAGTGAAATGCACACAAATTAGCAAACAATAAAACTCAATAACCCTAAGACATATCAGCTTTTCCAAAGAACAGCTGAATTCCATTCCTAGCCAGCTAATGGTTCTAACTGGTGCCACTGCTTGTGCTACCTAAAGTCTCATGAAGTCTTGGCATTTCTCCTAGTTTTCTAGGCCTGGAATTCACTCAGTCTCTGCTGCTCTTACAGATTCTGAATTACCAAGGTACTTAGGCAGGTGCCTACCCTAAAAAGCATAAGTAGTCCCACTGATTTTAATAGGATTATCCATGTGTTTCAAATTAGTCACGTGCATAAGTACCTTTCAAGTGCAGGCTATAGCTTTCTATAGCTCCCAAGAAGTTAGGATTTTTTCTCACAGTAACGCTAACTTTTGGAGGAGATGTAAATAAGGTGCCTGCATGGTCGCATAATGATCAGATGTGCCACAGTTGAAGCAAGGATCAAGTGCTCCATAACTGTTAAGATGCAGAGACACCATAAATATTATATAACTAGTGAAGATTCAAAGAAAATGTTAAGAACAGGTGCAGCACAGCAGCAAGCCAATTTCATTTACCCATCTCTCTGTATTAGACAAAAGACTAGTGTCTTCATAAACATTTCATTTTTTCAGCTTTCTTGGTATATTTGCGTTTAAAATACAGCCTGCACAGCCCCAGAAAACATATTATATATTTGTGAGAAGAAAACGTCAAAGTGTCAAACCCAAGAAAATCACCACCTGTATTTTACAAGCTGAATTCTAGACAGGCAACTATTTGTCAATGAAGAAAACAAATTGCTCTGCAAGAGAAAGCGTAGTTTTGGAGATCTTCAGAGAAGTACTCTCAAGTGGTGCAAAAAGTCCCCAAAACGCAAAACAAAAAGAAATGTCTTCCACTTCCAGGACAATTGTAGAAAACTAATAAATTTCACAAAAGTGTCCCGTCAGTGCATCATTAACGGTACGGTACTGTATGCACTTGTCATTACAGGATGTGTGGGTATGGCATCCTAGAACAGCAGAATGACCCCCAGCTTATCTGATGGTGAGCTGCTTTAACAGACAGCATTTCAGGGGACTCATATTTGGGTTGAAAATTTGAATGACAAACTAATGGAATATTCTCAACACCAGATCTCGTTTTGTGCTCGTCTTCTAAGATCTGAATTACAAAACAAATCTGAGGTAGAGTAAGGGACTGGAAGTCCAAACAGCAATCCTGCTGACACGGAGCTGTCCGTGTGCTCAGCTCCCGGGCCGGCTCAGGCGCTGCCCTGGCCGTTCCCCGGAGCGAGCAGGCTCAGGCGCTGCCCTGGCCGTTCCCCGGAGCGAGCAGGCTCAGGGGCTGCCCTGGCCGTGCCCCGGAGCGGGCCGGATCCCCGGCCCTGCCCCGAGCACGGCGGGCCGAGCCGCCCTTTGTCCCCCCCGGCTCCCCGGAGCCGCTCGCCCGCCGGGCGGGTCTGAGGCGCTCCCCGCGGGCTGCGGCGCCCCCTGGCGGGTGCTGCTGCGGGGACAGCGAGCGCCCGGCGGCTCCCCAAGCTGTCTCCATGGACACGGCCGGGACACGGCCGGGACACGGCCGGGACACGGCCGGGACACGGCGCCCAGCCCGCCCAGACACAGCCCGACACAGCCCGACACAGAGCTCAGTAATGACATCCGCATTCGTGCGCGGATTTTAACTGAGAAGTGGTTTGGGCGCTTTATAAAATGCACACGTGCTCTTCTAAACATTAACATGCTTCTGACAGGAAGATGTTGTAAGGACTGACATCTGCACTAAAAATACCCGGCCAGAATAGCTCCATTAAAACTTATGTTTTACTAGGTTGCTCATAAAGGCAATATATTGACCTTCTCTTCTTATGCTAAATCTGAAAAAATTCAATTCTTTCAAAACTGAAACTTTATCATCACTCTGCTCTGCACTAAGGTTATGCTGTTCTCTGTACTGTTTGCATCATTTGCTGGAAATATCAGCATTCCTATTAAGCTAGAGAGAAGACAACATAAAATACCTTTGAGCCAGGAGTTGTGTGCTGCACTATGAATGTAACAGCAGGTCATAAACTGTTTGAATCCTACTCTCCAAGAAGGCAGAGGAAAAAGAAAAAGAGTTGAATGAAAATGCCTAGCAGGAAACAGAATATAACCAATGAAGAAAAATGGCACAATATGGAAAAAGCATAAAAAGCCTCTCAAAAGCAGTTTTCATTGGGTTTTACTTCCCCGTGAATATATGTGGAATTTGCTTTTGGATATAATGTGCAAGTCACTATTTTCCTGCAAAGTCTGTAAAGGCATCCGGAAAATACCAAATGCTTTCCCATCCTGCCCTAATCAAGTTTTTTCTGTCACATGAGCTAAAATATTTCTACTTTTGTAATGACTGCTGCATTTCCAAAAGCTTTTGAATACAACAGACTCAGTTGGCATTTTCTACATGTAGATATAATAAGGGCAAGCTTTACATTCTTATGTGTGCATATTAAGATCAAGTCAGCTTGATTTAACACCAAGGATGTAATATTTGCTCACATAGTTCTCAGTAGTTATGTATTTAGAAAATCTATGTGTTATAATTAATTCTATTGTCCTAATACTAAATTTACTACAGTTAATGTTTATCTTAAATGAACAGTTGGTTGATAGCTCAGGAGATGCTCCTTTCTATAAAACCTGGTCTGAAGCATATCCCATAAGGCCAGTTTCAAAATTACTGCTGCCTGGCTGATCTGTACATAAATGGCATAAAGATTTTGCAGAAAAATGAGCAACACAGAACTGTGTTCAGCACACAATGCTGTTTCTATATTGGAAAATCTAACTCAAAGCAGTGTGGAGAAGGAATATTCATGACATATAAAGCAACGGGCATCAGCTTGACTATTTAGTGAGGAGGAACAATTCACAAAGAGATTGCAGCTCAGACATTTGGCCATGCCAGATCTGACCCTTTTGCAGGAGAAGCAGGTCAGCAGCTGCTTCAAGCAGCCGTTCCCGACAGACACGAGCTACTCCAGGCAGCAGAAACAAGGACTGGCAAGTCTGCACAACTCTCCAATGAAAGCTGGAGGGAAACAGACCCCAGGCTAGCCTGAGCAATGGGTGTGATTTGTAATGCCAGCAGGGACTCAGACAGCTTCTCATGATAGAAATGAAGTGGGTCTTGCAAAGAGCCAGAATGAACTGAGATGGAAGCAGTTGTGATGGAAGAGTGAGGTACCTGATCCACAGAGATAGGGAATACAGCCAGCTTTGCCAAATGGGCTCAGCTATGGCAAGGCTGGAGGCTTTCCTGGCCTGGCAGGGATCTGTAATTCTGTCCTAAGGAGTTACTGCAGGAAACACAAAGTAAACAGTAACACCCAAGCATTCAAAGAATTAGACTGCATTTGGTTTTCCACACAGAAATCACTGGCAAGTTTGTGAAAAGAGAAAACCCATAAACAATGGTCTCTGTCCACATTGATCCTAGGATCCAAAGGATAGCAATTGGCTCCTAACAGTGGCCCTAGAAATTTAAAATGAAAAAATACCAGTGCCCAAATCCTAATGCTCTGTATGGACAGGGGCTGATGTGTACATGAGGAGCTACTCCCAGAGATACAAACAGTTTAGCTTCACTTCTTTGAGTGATGTTCCACAGAAGGACAACCTCTCTTTCACTTGAATGGCATGGTGCTGGGCCAAAGAACAGCATCCAAATTACCCTGGTTCAATCAGTGACAGATCTTACAGTGATATATCCCTCAGTAACACCATTTGCATACTAAAAACCTGTTCTGCCATATCTTTCATAGTGCTTGACTCTTTTCACAGAGCACCTCCTCTGCAACCGCAAGAACCACTGGATTAATCCAAGTACTGTTGCACTAGTCCAAATGATAGCAATTGTCACTGAACTACTGCCCCAAAGAAATGTTCTGCCTCTGTGACAATTCAACATTGCTTATAGACAGAGGAGATGAACATCCTCATTTTGTAACATTTACACTAAAAGCTGTCTCCTCCTTCCTGTTACTTTTTTCATTTAAGTACACCAAACATATATTGTACCTACAACCATCTATTAACAAATAAATGAGAAAGGACAAAACTCAAGTCCACATATGGACACAAAAGGCCAATGAAAAAGACTCCAACAAGTGGAAAATAAAATAAAATAAAAACAAGTAACTCAGCTGTGTAACAATGCTAGCTCACATTTTGTACACCAACACCAAGAGGTCCCACATTTAAGAAAAGAATTTAGGAAATGGCTAGCACTCAGTCAAAAACATGAAAAGTATATGCTTACCTGCAGTTCCTAAGCTGAGCAGTACAGCAACCCAAAATATCCAGAACACAATGAGAATCAGAAAAGTCCAGAGTGGCTGGAACAGGAGGAAAGGAATTCTGCCAATGATTTTGCCAACAATTCGAAAGAGCTGTACAGAGAATGGAAGCCTCTTTCTTAGTACAAATATAAGGGAGAGCAGAACAACCTGTTTCAGGAAATAAAAAGACAAATTGTTAGGGGTTTTACTTCAAGAAAATTATCAGAGTTGTCATGTGGGATCAGAGGATACAGATTTCACAAAGACATGACAACAAAGCAATTTATACAATCTTGCTACACATTAGAAAATCCTTCCAAGACACTGCCTATGTTCTCAAAGAGCCTGTGGATTAAAATCTATTTTCCTACAATAGTTGTTGCTGGCTTTTTTTAACAAAATAGGATTCATAAGACTTCAGTTCATCTGATGGAAACTGTCTATTTTGCTTTATAGCAAACATAAATGTACATTACACACTACTCATTGCTTTCACATACCCTGCATGTCAAGAGCTTTCAAACTTTCTTTCTACTCAGGTCAGCTTGCCACTGTTCACTTTCACAATGGTAGGAGAATCAGTCCTTCCCTGCAATCCACCACCAAACTAGTTTCTGAGCTATGTATGTAAGGAGCAAAGCAGGCATAAAATGAAAACTTATTTAAATAAATTATTGTCTTCCCAAAGTAAAAACCCAACCCGCCAATAACAAAACCCTGAGTCAAAAATCCCACAATATCCCCAATTCTTTGTATGTGACAAGGAACTATGAACAACAATTAAAAGGGAGGTTAGAATCTTTAAAGCAATATATACAACCAGTGGCAGTTCCTTCACCAGTTTTCTTGCCTGCTCTGGAAAGAAGCCACCAGCTCTGAAGAGAAGCATAACCTGCAGCAGTGGGTGTTCCCACAGCTCTGCAAACAACAGTCAGTTGTACCAGAACACACAAGCATTCAAAGTAACTTTCTTAACTTTTTAGTATCAGCAGATGTAAAAAGGTCATAATTTATAGGGGATATTTAAAAACATCTGGTCTGTGACACATTTATATTTGTCACTGTAAACTGTCAGACTGTTCATATCTGGCAAATTCCATATGGATCTTATTCATCTCTAAGACAACAGGACAACTGCTTTGACAAATGCCTCATGAAGTACAAATTGACTGCACCATCAGATTGAGAAATGGCTTCCTTTAACATTGCAACATCAGAGTGAAAAAACTCTCTTCAGAAGTTGCAAACCACACTCAGATTTTCTGTTGTAAAACAAGGTCAGTGAGAGAAAAACAGAATTTAACCCCATAACTTGAGGTCTAGACACTGCTGCCTGCATTTCACTGCCCCTTTCATTGTCTCAAAGAGCTGCCACCCCTTTCTCCTGCTGACAGGGTGGGATGAATCCACAGATCTCCTGTCCATACTCAGCCAGTACCCCTGTGTTTATTCAACATGATTCTCCAGTGAGTTGATGCAGCAAAAAATGGGCATGGAACACAATTCTTGCATTTTTTACACCAACACTACTAATACAGTTTGCATGGGTTTGAAGTATGGCAAGGATGACAAACAAGCTTCACAATGAATATATAAAATTATTTTTGTAGTTTTGATGGGGGCCTAAAAATCTATTTGGAACTAGGGACCTTTAAAGTCCCTTCCAACCCAAACCATTCTATTATTTTATGATTATATGTCAATGAATGTAAGAAGATAATAGAATTTATTCTCATTTTCCAATTGAAAAACAAATAGGAATTATTTTTATTGTTGCAGAACCACTGTAGTTCAAGTTTTCAAGTTACAGCCTCTGCCATTGCTTAGGGCAAAATGCTACTTACAGTGACAATTGTTGATAAGATGGCATATCCAAGTAGGAACTTTACATTTTCCTTTTCTGTTTCCAGTTCAGTGCTGGGGTCATTCCTGTAGTCGTAATGGAGCCACCAGAGAACACCTGAGCCAACTGAGCAGAGCAGAGCAGCATGAGGGCGGGCAGGGCACGCGGTTGCTGGCAGGCTGATGCCTGCCCAGCCTCCCTTCCCAGTCTCCTGCCCTCCCCACCATCCCACAGGGCTCGGGAATACTGCCAGTCACCAAAGTGAGGCACAGGATCAGTGAGCACAGAGGAACTTCCAATAATGGCCTGTCAGTCTGAGGTAAAACCACAGCAGAACATTTGGATTTCCTGCAGTTATCCTAAAGCCCAGGCATGTAATTTCATTGTGGAGATACAAAGCTAACTTTCATGGAATGACAAGCTTTAGCCAGACACGTTCCTATGGTTCTCCCTTGCTAAAGCAGGCAGTGGAAGAGTTCACTAAGCATTCTTTGAAACAGTAGCATTTTCATAACTGCATTCATCTGCCAAAAGAAATGTTGTTTCCAGGCATCTATAAAAACAATAAACATCACCATCATCCTAACACTCAGCAGCTGGAACAGCACAGCCAGACCTTGGCACCAAAAGGCAAGCAGGCCTCAGCTTGGAAATGACTGTGGTAAGCTGAAGGTTACTGAGGATGGTCATTGGAATAAGGATAGCTGTTTGTTCAGCTGCTAATCCTTCAGTACAGTGAAACAATAAATATACTTACACAACAACCCGAATACAACCAGTGCAATCAGAGTATGGATGAAGAGAGTCTGAATGAATCTGAAGGCTAAAAGCAGTATCAAAGAGAGGGCTGAAAAACACATAAACTGAGTTTGAGTGTTACAACCCTTTTTATTTTAAATATAAATGTAAGGTTCTTGTAGAATTTTGGCTTTTATTTTTAAAAAGTAATCTTAATAGCAACAGCATTTAGTAAAGCTGGCAACCTTTTTAACATTTAAAGCACAAAATTACATTTAACTTAAATAATAAGAAACTTATAGCTGATATATTTCACCACGGAAAATACTAGCTTTTTAGTAACATTTTATGTAAGAATTAAGTTCAAGTATTCATGCTGATGTAATCTTTTTCATCAACAATTTCTTACAGTCCCCCAAAATGAGGTATATAACCATGTCATGGACCACAGAATCTGATAGAGATCTGCATTTCACCAGTCTATTAAATGCCTCCTGATAAAATCTGATCACTCTTCCTTAAAAAATAACTGTGCCCAGAAAATATGAAAAAAGTCCACTTTTGCATTAAACGTATGGACTTATAAGAAACATTTTAACCTTTCAATTGAATATCATTATTCACTTTTTACTTATAACCTTACCTAGTGCAAGGACACTCAGTCCTATCACAGTATCTCTTCCTGCCAATATTCCACTCAGAATCCGATGAAAAACATCCATTTCATTAACCATACTTATTAGGACAGATGCATATTTGGAATAGCATTCAGGATTTTGCGGAACACAGCGATTAAATAATGGAAAGGATTTACTGAAAGGTTGAAAACAAAAGTGGTAAAAAATATTAATTACTGGACAAACAGTTTAAAATCCACAGAGACCCATCCTGTCATTCTCCACACAGAACATTCTTTTATAAAGAGTAATTTTATGTATAATCTGCAAAATAAAATCCTAATAGTGTCATGCCTGTATCACTATGAAGAACAGATCCATTCAAGATCAACTGGGGAATGAAATTAACAACTCTCTCACCATCAGCACATAGCTCCTATTCCCATTCTAGTCTGGCTTCACCTATTTTGCTCCCATGTGTTTATGCAAAAATGAAGTTCATGCTAACATGGCTGTAACCTGTGCTGTTGTAGATAATTCTAGATCACAAACATTTTGTATTGTTTTTATGATATTTAAGCATTCTAAAAGCCACACCAAAACAATGTTTGCAAGATACAATTAACGGCACCAAATATTTATACAAAATTATTTGGCACTCCCAGCAAAGCTTCTTGCATATATTTATTGTCCCACTTTGGCAGTGCTGCCCTACAACAGCCAGTGGCAAAGGAGAGGTTTTGTTACCAACAGCTAAAAATTTCACTAACTAGCTTTGCTTCTACCATGCAAGATTAATAACTGCTGAGTTCCTTGACAAACCAAAAAAGGCCTAGGAAGTTGAGGAAATAAATGAAACATGCCATATTTTTTCATCAATTTACATGCTGTCCTTTGATCCACTGTATGTAATGTTTTTACATGTCTCCTGCTCTCTTCTCTTCACTTTGTTCTTCTATTTTCTGCTGTTCAGAGCAGATGAATTAGCTCTGCAAACACAGAGATTCCAGTTCTCTGCTGTATTTTCATGACACAGTGGAACTTAAAATCATGGGTTTAAGAATTTTGACTCACAAATGCCAGATTTGACAAAGACAGCAACATCCACAGATTCGTTCTTCAAGCCATCTGGCTATAAAATTATTCTGATGGAAATTTCTGGGCTCAGGAGAAGAAGCAAGGCCAAAGACGACATCCTTGGCATTGAGGGAGAAAGCAAAATCTGTGCAGGAGCTAAGTTGTTCCTCATATGGAGTGCTTTTTCCTAATTTGGAAAAGGAAGAGGAATGGAAGGGTAGAGGAATAAAGGGTAGAGGAATGAAAGGAATGCTGTCCTTGTTTATTCTGTGGGACAGGACACAGGCACATAAAAGAACTTGTAAGGATACATGGATAAAAATAAATAAACAAAGCAAAACCATCCTGACTGTAAGCATCAAGCCAAAAACAAAATGTGAGAAAGTAACAATCCCTAAGAATCTGTTTGGACTGAAGGAGGTTGTAAAGTACTCAGTCATTATTACCTTGGTGGAACTGGCAGTGTGGGACACAGCTGAGCTGCTTTTGGATTTAGTGTGTAACTGGAAACATTCAAGTTGTAAACACAAAGGAAAGAACCTAGAAAAGAAAAGAAAAAAAAAAAAAAGTAACTTAAGATTCGTAAAAAATTGAGAGAAAAAACACATTAACAGCTAAGTTTTGTTTGCACTTCTGGTTTGATCCCTTAGCAGGCCGTTTTCATCCCTGATGTTCCAGTGGGAATGTGAATAGCAAATTAGGTAGCTGAGTAAATCTAAACCAATCCCTGCAGAATCTTTTGCCTTCTTGACTTAACTGCCGTTATCATTTACATTCCTGGAGGGCAGGCACACTGTTTTCTCCACAGTGCCATACCTGGCTATTAATCCTTGCTCACTAGGAATAGAGAAAAACCTGAAATGATGGAAGCTACAATAGAACCAGGCCCTCCTGAGTTAGAATAGAATACATTTGTGTCCAGAAACCTAACTTGTGCTGGGATCTAGGTGGAATATTTCCAGGTACTCTGCTCCATCAGACAGCACCTCTGGGAAAGAAAGGCTGGGCACATCCAAGCCATTCAAAATGCAAGAGTTCTCCCTGCCTTGACATGCAAGCAGTTTTAGCTGGAAATTGATGCAATTATATTTAGTTAGACTGAAAATACTTATATAATCTCACAGGTGTTTACAGCTTTCTGCAGATACAAAATTATGTAAAAACTACCCCAAAATTAAATTGAAAGAAATAATGTCAATTTAAATAGCAATCCCTGCCAAATAAAACAGCAAAACAAACAAACAACAACAACAACAAAAAAAAAAGATTGGGATACTGACCTCCAACAATAATAGCCATTAATATTCATATGGTCTGAAGTTTATAAATAAGGTTTAGGCTACAGATTATTTTATTTACATGTTGGACATGAATGTTTATTCAGGAGCTTCTTTCACACAACAACTACTTCTGACAGCATTTTCATCTTGGACACCAGACTCAGATAGAATTTCAAGGTGTGTCCTGGTTTTGCTGGGAAGTGAGTGGCTGTGTGGTACTTAGTTGCCAGCAGGGGTTAAACTACAACAAAATGGAATAGCAAACATTGGGATCTGATGTCTAGAGGGATAAATCCACTTGTGTCTTCATGGAATTAATAATTGCACCATAGTTTTAATTACATTTAAAGGAACCAGTTGGACAAGAGTCACAAACAACATATGAACTCTGGTCACCTACTGGCACCCTCACCAAACTTCACTAGTTCATTATCAACAGTCAGTTTTCTGCTACATAATCTCAGCACTGTGCAGGAATTAATGAACAACTTTCTAATTTGCATAACAGAGCTGTAACATTTCTAGAAACTATGGTTTTGAAATAAAGCAGAAACAAGACATTTTCTGTTACCATGAGCTGTTCAGGAAATTAATGGTAAGATATGACTCCCTAGTGTAAGAGCCATAAAAAAAAACCAAGTGGAAACTGCTCAATTGTTCTACAGATACACTGAGGTACTCATATTCCCTGTGGCACACCATTATTCCTTGCAAAACTCTGTAGATCTTCCAAAGAGTTGAGTTGCTGTTGTGGACAACTTGACACACACAAGGAAAGTGAACTGCTTTTGAGGCTTTGTATTTCCAGGCTGCATGAATTCAGAAAGAACACATACCTAGAAAGAAAAAAAGATCCTCTTCTCAATAAACAAGCTTTTTTTGTTTGTTTTTTTTTTATAAGTATAAATTCCGAATCTTCTTTTTTAAAGTGCTACAAAGCAAGTGAAAATTTTTCCAAAGGAGTCAGTAGAATGACTGGGAACTTCAATGTGCAACATCCTTAAGTAGAAAGATTTACCACATAGAATGACTGCCTGTTTGGCTGATGTCCCATTTAAGATCCTCTTTAAGAAGGCAGCTGCATAAAGCATAACAATGCAGCATATTTTCGAATTCTATCTTAACTTTTTAATTTCTGCACTGTTCCCACCTTTTTTGCCCTTCAGTACAACAGTGTATAGATAAACAGATGTATATGATTGACAGCTAGAAGATGTGTATTTTACTAAGTTCTCAAACATTTGATTTATCTATACCTTATCAGATGCACTTACTTTTTATTAGTCATGTCTAATCCAGAAAGATTTGCCCCTTCTACAGGAGTGTTCTTCCGACCACATATGTTCCCAAAGCTGTCATATCCAAGCACGAGTCTTTCTGCAGCACCAGCCACCACAGCATAGCCACTTATAAACATCTGTTAAAATATTTTTTTAAATGTGAAAGCATGCTACCATAGCTTTTCCTTCCTATTCAATAAATATTCCTTTTAGGTCATGCATTTTTGCCTTCTGGTTGCAAGCAGTTAAATCTGTAATTCACCGCTCTACACAAGGCCAGAGCAAGTCACATGGGCAACTTTAGCCCTATTGCTTCCTTAGAGCTTTCCTTCATCTATTGTTGAAAATATATAATTTAAGCAGAATAACACAGGAGAAGAAGGATAGAGGTCCTGATTAAAATAAGAGGAAAGCATTACTAAGGTGCTGAACACTGTTCCTAGTGATGTTCATGTGTGTCATTAGGCAAGATCATTCAGAGATCATTCAAGATCATTCAAATGGTAACATTTTTATGTGCTCACTGCATCTCATGTTACAGGATGACCTTCAAGACACACTTGGACAATAGAACTGCTGCCATGATGGGCCCTTGAAGCTGCTAGTGAATGTAATCAGAGGTACTTTTAAACATAAAATGTATTTTAAATGGAGATTACCTGGAATTTCAGGAAGAAGCACTCTTTAACACATGTGAAAAACCTGGAGAAAACCACACTGTGCACATAGGTGACACTTTCCTGACCTTTTAGTTGTTCTGTTGCCAGATCAAAGTTCCAGTATATATCATCTTATTGTAAACCCCAGAGGCAGGTAAGTACCTCTGCTGGACAAGTAGCAGCAATCCTCAGTCAAAATGAAACACCTTGTCTAGGAATGCAGCTTAAACCCTCCTGTACATTGTGAGGGCCAAAATAATCCTTGGAAAGAACCTTTGCGAGTGCCAAGAAGCAGCAATTCTTCTGTGAAACTGGTGAAGTCCTGAGTACTGCTTTACCCAAGGCTTATCTCCCCATCACTCCAGCTACTGAACAACCCAGTGATGCAAGCTTCTCCTCTGTCCCATGGGGTGCAAGTCACATTTCACACACAACCAAGGACAATCACTGAGCTCTGTGGCTGTGTGCCAACTGCTGGCTGCAGCAAGGCTTCCCAGTCCACATTAACCACTGCTGCTTCGAATGAGTACAGCTGAGTATTGGCTGTGCTCAAGAAAGATTGCACAGACCAGCACAACTGCCGTCTAACTTCAGCTTTAGAGCCTTTTTCTGTGCTTCTATTTTAGTACTTGTGACTAAAGATTGGATCTGGGCAAAAACATGTCTCATACACAAACATGTAGGAATGTGCTTCTTTAGTTCTGAGAGCAATCTCATTTTTGCTTACAGCAGACTCTTTTTTGCAGTCTTAACTAGTTCAGAAATTTTTTTAAAATTATGATGGCATGTTAATGTTGTCTCAATATGGACATCTTTGTAGGGATTCCTCAATTCAAGCTAACAAGTGATGTTAGTGGATACTTGTGGATGTGATTTGTTACAATAACAAAATATATCCAGATCCGGTATGTTTACTGAGCAAGTTTTTTTTTAATAATTAAAATGTTCTCAGAAGGAAAACAAGAAATAAGCTGTCACTGTAACTCAACTGAAACATACTTTTAGAAAAATTCCATTCAAGGTGAAAATGTCCTCTAAATATGGGGCATACAGGTCCACTGGGTAGGTGATTTTTTTTTTTTTCTTTAAGTGCAGAATGCTGGATAAAAGCAATAAATATTGTTAAGTAACAGAGCAATAGCTTCAGGGGCACATGGACATTATTCTCATTTCCACAGAGCTATTAATGTGATTTCAATTTTTTCACTATGTGAACAAATTAGTGTCATTACATTTTCTTAAATATTTTAAAAATAAGATCAAACACAAGAAAACAAACACAAGCATGCAATAAGCTATTTTATAGCAAGTGAGTAATAAAAACAGTGAGAGAAACCAAACAAAAATCCTAAATCCTTACTATTTGAGAGGTTTAATTTGTGGCATCCCCTCCACTGATCAAAGCAGTAAGCATTACACAGCAGGTAAAAACCCCTATCCTGCTCACAAAGTTCACCATCCATTTGTGTAGTATTCTAAATGTATAGGTAATATTCTGCATCAGCTTCCATTTAAGGAGTTCCTATGCATGGAATTAAAAAGTGTATTTATGAGAATCTTGAGTAGACTGAGACATAACATAAAAACCCCATTCACGCTTCAGAAAGACAAAGCCTTCTCCCAAAAGCTTGCATGCTATTCTGAGATAGTGGTCTTAATGTAGCATCACATGGACATACGTTGCAAGATAGCAAGGCTAGAATGAATCAGTAGAATAAAGAGCCCAGTCAGAGCCTGGACTGACTTACAAAAAAGGTGAATACTAAATAACCGAGCCCTGTGTATACATGGTATCTAAAGCATATGGGCAGACCTTAGTGTGACTGACGCCACAATAAGGCACTGCTCCACCACAGAGGTAAGCTCTATCCCTGGGCAAACCTGGGGACCTGTGCCCGTGACAATTTCCGTTTAGATTTAGTGTAACACAATGCAGAACCCCATTAACTTCGGATCTGATTTATCCTTCCAGGAAGCAAACAAACAAACTGTGCGTGCTTACCAAACCAGCCCAGAAAAGACAGAAGAGGAGCAGCCAGAGAGTGTCCGTACACTTTCTGTAAATGGCTGGTCTCCATTCCCGCAGCTCAGAAACACTATCTCCAGAGTCCTAAATAGAAGAAGAAAAAAAAAAAAAGTTCAAGAAAACAACAGAACAAACTTCCTGTGAAATTAACTCAAGTTCCAAAGGGCGGAGATTTCAGCAAGGGCGTAACGTGTCCCCCTCCGTGCGGAACAGCTGGCGCTGCGCGGTAGCGAGGCGCGCTGCCCCGCTCTGTGCCGGGCGCTCCGGCCCCGCTCACCTGCCGCGGGTCCCCGCGCCGCTCCATGGCCGCGCTCGCCGCGCCGCGCCG